TAATCACAGGCTGGAGAGCTGGCTTGGAGATTAAGAGCACTGGCTGCTGCTCTTTCAGAGGCCTTGAGTTCGATTCCCAGCAACCACATGTTGGCTCACAACCATCTCTACTGAGATCTGGTGTCCTCTTCTGGCATGTACATACCAGAAGAACATTGTACACATAATAAATAAATCTTAAAAAAACCTAATCACTTAATTTTTCTATGATATGAATTGAGAATGAGATGTAAATATACACACACACTTGTGAAAGTGTATTTCAATGCTTAAAAATGTACTTTCCACTAAAACACACCAACAATTGAACGTTATTACACTTATGCATCATTAGAGAGACAAGCAAATGTTATTATCCTTCATTACAATTGGAGCCACTGGGCCTAATGCATCCAATGTGAAATGAGTGAATCAGGCCACTCTGACATCACTCATCATTTACAGCCTGACATTACACATGTACTAGATCATGGAAGGATAGAGCAAATCTTGTTAACTATGACAATGATATGAATTTTTTAGTAGATGATAATTAAAGTGAAGTTTAAGAACAATTCTGCAATTCAGATTTCTAGATAAATAATTTGTTATACTTCTATTTATTTTACAACTTACCAAGACAAATCCTTGGTTCAAGACTGTACATCTAAATTATGTCATTTTTCTTATGTAAAATTAGGATTATATTTACTGTGATTTCCAGAACTGCAGTAAAGAAAAGGCCAAGTGTGCCCATATTTGCTTCTTTAAGTAAACACTTTTACCTCTTTATCTTAAAGTTCAAAGGAACAGGGAAAGTTTCACATTTTGGATAGTCTACTAACACAGGATTCAGCTGCCAAAATAAAGCAGATTTCTGGATTTTTTTTTTAAAAAAAATGCTGTCCTGTATCCAAATCACTAAAAACAATGCAGTATTCAGTAATGTGTCATAGTAACTTGACAGTTGACATGAAGGAATACCTGTCCTTGTCTCAGATCTTCATTTGGAGGAATAAAAAACCTGAAAAGTGATGAAAATGAAACAGGAAATAGAAAAAGAACTTAATAAAACATTTGTTAAAAGTCAATCATCATAGATGAATAAAACACTTTCCCAACAAATTAAACTCAAGAAACCTATATAATACATACTAGAAATACTGTAAAACCCTGTGCTGTATTATAAAAGGATTACTGTCTAATTTTGAGGTTAAAAATGGCTGTATGTTCACTGAAGAGCTGCAATACAAAGTTCTTTTTTTGTTATCAAATATATTATTTTTCAATGCCTGTTAGGTACTTGTTATTTAAAGGAACACATTGTATAAGAACATTGTTCATAATATATATACTATATTGCATTGTGTTTATTTTTAAAGAGCATAAATAACCTTCATTTTATTACTTGTACCTTGTTTTCTATTTAGATTAGCATTTATTCCAACTCCAGTACAACTAAGGAAAACTATATATACTTTAAGTTAGGCTTGTCATCTAGTGATATTGTTACTGACAGCACAATTTCTTGATATCCATCCCTTAACAGTCAAATATCAAAAAAAAAGTACTTGCAACTTTAAGTAATCCAATACTAAGGACTTCTGAATATCTAGTTAGGAAGTGATTTTGATCTTCTAATAACCCTGACTTTGTTTACGTAGTACTTAAATATCCTAAATTTGCCTTCAACATTTGGCCTAGTTCTAGCCTATCATGTTATGGGTATGACCCATGTTTGAGTTCAACCACAAGTGATTTTTTTTTTGAACACCATGAGGCTTGTGTGAGGTCTTAAAGCAGGAACACTGTTGTGAAGGAATGAAGAAACTGCTTGTGTTTTTAGAGGCATGCAGGTCTTTTTAAATTGTTCATATTTCAATGAGGAATTAAAATGATAATAGATTAAGAGTCATAAGTACCCTATTCTAAACCTTCATGATTCACTTAGTATTTATTGCGTTCATAATATATATGTGCCAGGCATTGTGTTAATTGCTGAGGATTCAGAGAAATAAAAAGGAGTTTGTTTTCAAGAGCTCAGTCTATCCAGTGATGAGACCGTAAATGTAATCCTATATAGAGCAATCTTAAAATCTTTTAGAAAGGAGAGGAAATATCTGATGCAGTTGCTTAAGTAAATATTTTTTTAGAAACCCTGTTATTTCTCTGGTAAAATACAATTATTCCCTGATGCAAGTCTACTGGGGAGGAGATGGCATAATAATGGGTATCAATATTGTTTTTATGAAAACTCTCTTCTCTCACTGATTTCAGTATTTTAAAACCATATAAGAAACATTTTACTTGCAATAGCTTATCAACCAAAGGAAACAGAGTATATAAAAGCAATCTGTTGAAGTCTACCTTTAATAAACCTAGGCAGGCAATACCTGGTTCTGACATACCTTATGCCAGAATAGTAAGAAAAATTTTTAGAAATTACAATGGAATTTTATCCACCATGCTTTGGGAAACATGACACTAACAATATGAGCACATGCGCACACACACACACTCTCTTGTATACATCATTAATATATAATATTATTAATATATAATTATAAATTAATGCTTTCCTAAATCAGATCTTATATTTGCCTATGAAGAATACCATGATCTCTATTAGTATGTTTATGCCTTGACAAATGACTTAAACCACCTATTCTAACATAAAGCAAAGCACACAAATTGTATCTACCTGGTTTCAAATTATGGCTCTACCATTTACTATTTATAATCTTTGTGCTTTTAACTACTGAATTTAGTTTCCTAATCTGTAACAATGGGGACCACAATCCTCTCTGCTGGGTTACAGTAAGGATAAAAATCAAACAGCAGGTATAGCACAATACCTTTGCATACAGTAGATGCTAAATACTTGTACTTTATCTAAATTCTATACATATATACAGAAAAAGGATAAAGTAGAATTTTAAATGTTTTTTCCCTGCATATTGACACATGCCAAGGAAAAATGTGGATGAATAATTTAGCAAACAAAGGATATAAACTATCTAAAGGCAATTTGTTGAGGTATAGCTTTAATAAATCATTTTAATGTTATCAGTGGATTCATTTTGAATCATAATTGTTACTGTGTGTATTTAAAAAGCAGACTCATACCTGGGCATGGAGGCATATGCCTTTAACCCCAGTGCTTGGGAGGCAGAGGCAAGCAGATCTCTGTCAGAGCAAGGCCAGCCTGGTCTACATAGTGAGTTCCAGGCCAACCTGGACTGTCTCAAAAAACTAAGAAAAAAATAAATTAAAAAGCAAATACTAAGCATATACAATTTGACAAGTGTAGTACTTTGGGAACATTTTAACACCTTGATGTATTTTTAAATGCAATTTTTTTCTAAAGAAAAAAAAAGAGGCCCTCTTGTTCTACACAATATCCAGGCAAATGATGATTAAACATTCTAAATTTAACTTTGTTATTAAAGGCTTACGGAATCATATTGGCTCTCAAATTTAAATAATATTCTTGTAATTCTGCCAGTCGTAAAAACACTATTTCTTTTTTTTACACAGGCATTTCCTTTTAACATGGCAACATGTGTCTACGTCTTTTATATTTTTGAGAGGTATTTAGATACTAAAGGCATTATCTTGTAACAAAATATATTAAATATGGACTCGAATGCTTCCTGAATTTAGGAAGATCAAGCAAAAATATTTTTATATGGCAGTAGAGTGACTAGGGAGAAAACCTGAAAAATGATTTGAATGGATTCCTTTCCTCCACCCCTTTCCCCCTCCTGGAGAATGTAAGTGTCCCGCATCTCACACCAAACTGAGCCTGAGTTTTACTGACGTAACCAGTAACCCTATCCACCTCTCACACTGCGGAGGCCGGCAGGGGCAGCCGCTGCCGCCAAGAACACCACTCATCAGAGCCTGCCCGATTCCACCCCCGCGTTTCAGTCATGCTTTCCAGAAATGGGGTCACTCGCTCAGTAACTATTACACACACCCAGCCTATCATCCTGTAATCCCCTAAAGTCCGCTGCGAGGACAGAAGGCAGCGAAAAGTCAAGAAAGAAGAATCACAGGCGCGCCACCATCAGGAACTGATTTTCCACTCTGGAGAGGGGCGCTGATACCCTGGAATGGATCTTGTCTGGATTATTTTCTTAGATCTTGAGTTGATTCTGGGACAGGGGCAGCTGGGAAAAGCTCTGTGCTGGGATGTGTCCGCAGAAATTCTGTTTTGCCTTGTTTGGGTATACTGTTTGGGCTTTTTGACACGGGGTGGGTGTCTCAGGGATGGTCACCAGATCCCGGGCGAGGAAAACCAGATAGCCCTTTACAGCTACTGCTGATCTCCTTGAATTTCACCCGTTCACCTCCACGGACAGGAAACAAAGTTATACTCAGGGTCTTACAACTCAGTGACCTCAAAAACCGGGGAGTGGGGTACCGGAGGCGTCCCGTTTTTCTTTTGCAGCGGCGAAAAGCGCTGCGACAGATCGGGAGTGCCCCTCAGTCCTGTACCCCTTACTCAAAATCCTCATGCAGGGTGGTGACCCTGCCCTGAGTGCACCCGTCTCTCTGCAGCAATCCCCTCCCTCCCTTGGCCAGACTCAAGCCTTGGCTCCAGGGAGAACCGAACCCATTACCCCAAAGTCGCTAAGATTCCGGAGAAGCCCCGGAGCCGGCAGGGCTAAACTTCTCAACTCCCCGCTGGCTCCCGCATTGCCTCCTGCTTCCCCCACGCAAAGTTGATTAAAACCGGCTTCTTGCAAAGCCTCAGCGCCCACTCCAAACCCTACGCGCCGCCACACCGGCAGCCGCCCCGCAGCCCCCCAAAAAAAGAGCCTGGGAGAGAAGAGTGAGTGAGTGAGTGAGGAACAGACAGACAGATCGGCAAACCCCAACGACCCAAGGCAGAATCCCGCACCCGGGACAAGATGTGAGCCGGAGAAGGTGGTCAAAGGGGCAGCTCCGGGGAGGAGAGCTAGCCGGCGGGGGCGTGGGGAAGGGGCGCGTCTGCCCCGCCACCCGGCTGCACTCACCTCAGCGCTGTCGGAAGGGCTCTCCACAGCCATCTTCTGCCACGGGTCCGCCAGCTGCGCCAGCGGCATCTTCCCCCCCTCCCTGGCCCGCTGCCTTCACCACCTCCTCCCTCCCCACCCGCCCCACAGCCGGCCCGGCTCCTTCGCCGCTCGAGCGCCCGGCAGAGTTGAGAAGCAGCAGCAGGACCAGCGGCGGCTCCCGAGAGCGAGCTCGACGCCGACACTGACCGCCCGAATGCCCAGCGCCTGGCCACAGCCGCCCGCACTCCGAGCGAGAGCCTCGCGCCGCCGCCAGGCACCAGGGCTCGCCCCTTTCTTCCTCTCCTCCTTCCGCCACCCGGGCTACGGCTCCGCCCCCCGCCTCCCCTCCCCGCCAGTTCCCGCGCCTGCTCCCAGCAAAAGCGACCTTCGTGCGCCCCCCCACTTCTGCTCACAACATGGAGTCTAAGCGATACCTGTCTCTCAGAGCCAGGCTGGACAGTGGCCCCCACCACCGCGCGCACCCAGGGGCGTGGCTGCTGCAGGACACGCCCTCGGGCCTCTACGCTCGGCTCCACCCCTTTCCCACCCCCACCCCTCCCTCCTCCTTCTCCCCAGCCTTGGCTTCTGGGCCTTGCCTACTTTCAGGAAGGGCGAGCCCAAGAGATTTGGGGGCGTTGGCGGGAGTTGGGGAGAAATGGGCAATGCAGGAAGGACGAGAGAGGCTGGGTGACTTTAACTGCCAGGAGTCCAAGCAGGTTGGAGGTTCGCTGAGAATGGGAGAGCAGAGGGCTTCGTGCTCAGCTGGAGAAGCTAGGCAGGGCGCTGGGGGAGCAGTCCCGTGCTAGCAGCCTGGGGCGGAGGCGGGAGATGTCTTTTCGGCCTTTCTCCTCCAGGGGTGCGCGTGGGCGCGCCTAGGCTGTGGGCACATCCCCTCCTGGCCCGAGACTCTTCCTCTTCAGGATCACATGCAGAGTATTCACCTGACCCCTTTGCCTCTTCTTGGACCGGACTTACGACGCTTTGTGCCTGGGAGCCAGCAGCTTGTAGGTTCAGCTCCCAGTTTGAGTCAAAGCTTTTCAAGTTGATTCTTCTGTTAAATTGTTAGTATTTGCGATTTTTTTTCCGTCCCACCCTACCTCCGCCCCAATAACCCTTCCCAAGTACGTAGAACCCTCGAGTTTCATTCAGCCCAGACTGTCACACCCCTGCCTTGCCACCTAAATCTTCAAAGAAAACAGAGGTTCCTTAAGGTTGCCCTTCTTGGCAGAGATTAAGGAGTTAGTAAAAATATCTTGTAGGCAGGAGCGCGGGGCTCCTGCTCCTCCGTTGACTTTAAATAAAAGATTAGATTTTTTTTTTAAATCAAGCTGGTTGTAGGCGGAGGAGAAGGAGGTTGTGACTCCTCCTCCTGCCCAAGAAGAGGAAGCCCTGGGTTAAGGGAACCCAATCTTCAGTAGGCATCGAAGCCACAGAATTCTAAGAGTTTGGGAAATAAAGCCTGGGCTCTCCGAGTGGGTTCCGGGAAGGTTCATTCAGTTCTGGGTTCATCGCGCCTGCTGCTTAGGCGCACTGTATGTAGAATTGTGTAAAAGTCGCTGGGTTGAGTGGAAAGCTACTGCAGCCCCTGGCTAATCGCCCTGCAGCGGGGGGGGGGGGGGGGGGGGGGAAGCACAGGGCAATCTCTGGCCAGTTTGTTTCTTCAGTCCCCAAGGCCTGGAGGGAGGCACCCCTAGCCTCCCACGCTTGGCTACCACAGCGCGTCACCCCCGCTGTGCTCTCCCTGCACGCCTTTTAACAGTTTCCTTTAATCATCCTGGGGTTCCAGACACCTGGAGAGTTCTCTCCACCCTCCCTTCCACAGGTGTGTGAATGACCTTAGAGACCCACGCCCAGTTGGCCAGGTCTGTGCGGTCTGTGCAAGGTTGCTTGCTTGGCCCGCCAGAGACAGGTGCTGGGCTCTTTTTGCTGCCATCTGCAGCGTGCCCCTCCAGGCCTGGGAGCCTCCTCTTATGAAAGCTCCAACTGTTTAGGGAAGGCAGCCGGAAATTCTTGCTGTGAGCCCTCTCCCTCAGCCTAGGACTCAGGGACAGCTCCCTTTGAACAACAGCTAGGCAGGCTCAGAGTAATCTGGAGGAGATGGAGGGACACATGGAGACACTTGTCACCATATTTAATTCGGGTGCTGCAAGTTCAACCTGGGCCCTAATTTAGGTTAGTTGGCAGCACCCGCTTGATGTAAAAGCCTGCTCACAGAAGTTTGAAGATGTGGAATTATGTATTATTTTGCACTTATACGCAGAATGCCAAAGTTATTTGCCCAAACACTCTCTGGCACTAATTACCCCCACAGAAACCATATAAAGCATTTTGAGCCAACAAGAGGCTTTAGTGGGTAAAGACACTTCAGGCTAAGCCCGATGACCCGAGTTTGATCCCCAAGGCAAAAATGGTGGAAGGAAAGAACTGGCTCCAGGAAGTTGTCCTGTGATCTCCCAAGCTGGTGTGCACACACATGTATAATTAATCGATGTAATAAAAAAAATAAAAACACAGCATGTTGTGTGTGATTTTTCAAGACTAGCTTTTACGGTTTTTTGTTTACCTTGAAAACCAACCAGAGTTCCCTATTTCAATCTCAATTTTTGCCCTTCTCTGGATTGACCTTGGAGCTTCCTACAACGTAGGTGGGCGCTCTGCCACTGAATTAAGTCCCCAAGCCTTTTTGGTTGTTTGTTTGCTTTGCTTTGTTTTGAGTCAAGGTCTCAGTCTCACTGACATTTAAATCTTACTACTCTCCTGCCTCAGAATACCAAATAACTGGGATTACTGGCAAGTGCCATCAGGCCCTACCTGTAATAATTTTAAAATTAGGTTAATTGATCTGTAATCAATGTAAGCAGTGGTCACAATTGTGGGAATTGAACATTAAATTGACTGCTACTAATGGCTTAAAATACCACTACCACAGATGTCTTCTTGTACATAGGATCAACTTAAACTGTGAACTCATGTAAAAAAATACAATTCTCTTATTTTTTGCCTCTAAAAGAAAAGAAAATGATGGGTGTGTGTGTTGTCCCCATTTATTTATTTTACCAGATCCAAGAGTAGTGCTTGGGTAACTTGGGGAAAATCAACTAAGAGTACAGAATTCCCCTCCGCATACACTTTTATTTATTTGCTTTTCACTAGGATAAATTTAGGAGGGTTACAGCATCACACATATTTTTGTGTCCAGTGGCCTTAGCAGGAAGGTTGCTTTGGAATATGGAATTTGGCATGAATCATGGTCCCCCAGTTACCTTTCTCCAAATCATTCTGGCTTTGTTCAGTTTTCTGGCTTTGTTTAGTTTGCCTCCAGGAATGACTGTGATGTGTGTTTTTTGTTTTGTTTTGTTTTTACTTTCTACACTGAAAAGAATTCAGTTTCAGCTGGGGCATAATCACCTTCAAATTTAAGAAGAGCTATGTGTTCTCTTTGGTTCCGGAGACCTCGCTTAGAGCCAGCAAAAATGGCCTTGCATCACAGCCTTCCGGACACATTTATGTTTTAGAAGTCCTCTTCCCAGCAGGCGCTAAGATAGAGGGAACAGCTAGAGCACAGGATTTTGAAACAGTAGTTGCTGCTGGCCTGAACAAGATTCCCTTTGTTTTCCTAACAAAGAAATCTAAGTCTTGCAATTCAAAGAAGAGCTGCCTCCTATCTCCAAACCTGCAGAGATAGCAAGCCGCTGGCTTTCTCTGCCTACTGAGCCTTAAAATGAGGTTAGATGGTCCGAATTGAGAGGCACAGTATCAGCTGGGCGTGGTATCTAATGTCTTTAGCACCAGCACTTGGGAGGCAGAAGCAGACGGATCTTTCTCAGTTCTAGAGTTCCAGAGTAGCCTGGTCTACAGAGTGAGTTCCAGGGCAGCCAGGACTACACAGAGAAACCCTGTCTTGAATTTAAAAATAGATGTGCTGGTGTGCTGTATCATAAGGAAAAAAAAGAAAGAATCTCATCAGAATTTTTGTATTGACTCTATATTGACTCTCCCGTATTAAATAAAATTTCATTATATTAAGCTCATTTAGATTCTCCTTGTGACAGAATCTCACTACCTACCTCAGGCTGGCCTCAAACTTGTGAGCCTCCTATTTTGTTTCCTGAGTACTGGGATTGCAGGTGTGCATTCACCCCTACGCCTGGCTTATGATTTTACCTTTTAAAACCCATAAACTAGTTCTTGCATGTGTTGGCTCTTGTTAAGTTTCACACTCTAGTTCTATAGGACAGAACTGCTCTGGAATTATCTTTGTAACATTGAGCTTTTTATGACTGCCCACAGGTCCTATAGATAACCCTAGAATCATAGCTTCAGGTTTTGCTTTTCCCCCTTCTCTGTGAAAGATCAATAGAAAGGATTAATTCACTTATCGTCTAATCTCCCTACCCTGTGTATCCAGAACCCAAAACACTGGAAAGTTATGACTTGAAACAACAGCTGAGGAAATGGCAAACCTCAGTAGAAAATCTGAACTGGGGTTCCAAGAAATGATTCCTAATGTATGACAGGACAACTAACTTTAACCTCCTCTGCCCCCAACAATTTCCTGATATAATTATAACCTTTGTGTACAAGTTTAAATGGGCACTCATTTGACAAAATAACATTTGTCAAAAAATGGAGTTACCTCAGTCTGGAAAAGTTGCAACATGACTAACCGTGGCTCATGGTGAGCTCTCCATCCCACATACATTCAAAACTCACAGTTCCATACGTATAGACCTGCCCTAGCAAATGAAACGTACAAAGCACAACCATTGTCACCTCCAGGAAAAGGCTCATATCTTACATCACATAAGACAGGAGTTTAACAAAATTCTTGGTAATGTCTCTTTCATGTGTATGATTTTCCTTGAAATGCCGGGCAGCAGTGGCCCCACACCTTTAATCCCAGCACTTGGAGTCAGAGGCAGGTAGATCTCTGTGAGTTCAAGGCCAGACTGGTCTACAGAGCAAACCCTTTCTCGAAAAACCAAAAAAAGAAACACACACACACACACACACACACACACACCAAACAAACAAAAAGAAACACTAGGAAATTCTGAAGTCCGGGTGTGGT